ACTACAAGCTAATCCAGAGTGGGAAAATACTTACGTCCCTCTTTTACACGTTTTTGGTTCTCTGCTCCTGCTTTCTGGTGGGGATACCTGTAAGAGATGATGTGGTATAGCCATTTACTCCAAGATTAAAACCTTTTATCATGGAGGGAAACCCCTCCGAGGTGGGAGAGATATAAAACAACTGGATATTTTAAGACAGTATTTTCAGGCAAGTGAGACCACAGGATGTCCCCAGGGGAGTAAAGCTTTTTATCCTGCAGGGCAAAGTCATTAAGACAGGACAGAAAGCATTCAAAATAGCTTCATGATGCCCCTAAAACTAACCTGTTTCACTAGACCCTCCCTGCTCCCAACCAAGCTTATAAGCAGTAAAGACTACTGAGTCACTCTTTAACAAGCCAGGTGGCCTCGAAGAGTCTCAGGCAAGCTGGGCCACCTGGAAGTTACAAAAGCTAGCCAAGCAACCAAGAAAAGGTTCCACCCAACTGACATTGTCCAACCTGTTGTGAGCTGCCTGGAGGCCACGCAGTAAGGAAAATGCTTCCACTTCACAAGTCCATTCTCTGAGTTGGATGCTCATCATCACTACTGACATCAGAGGTGTAATAGATGCCAACAGCATCTTTTGACAGGCATCTTTTGTCTCCTTACTTAGTTGGTCCATTCCTGGTGTTCAAACTCTTGGATTACACACAGCTTTGGAGTTCTTAAACTCTTTATTTCTCCTTCAGTTTCTTTCTCCTTTCTTAAGACTCAATCCCAACAGTAGCTTTAATTAACCCAGTCTAACCATGGTCAGCGGCTGATTTTGGTTTCCATTTATTTATGCGCTTCAGTACCATGGCTAACACTGCTAGCATAATTAAAACTTCACTGGTCTTTGTATCTCCTAGTAAAAGCAGTGAACAGGTTTGCTGAGTAGAAAGTGAACAGAAATCCCTTTTCCATGTAGTTGTTTATATAGCTTGATCAATTTAAACAGTAAGTAAGGAAAAAATAGGTTTATATTAGGAGACCATTTTGATAGTTGGGAAGCAATAGAAAGAACTAGGCTTCATAGTTTTTCTTGAGAGACAATTCTGCCCAAGCAACAGACAACTTGACATCATTGCGCTATCATTAGGACAAAACCTGAACACTTCTGAGGAGGACGTTTCTTCTGCAATATTATTAGAGCAAGGGCCTTTGTTCAAAATGCACTGGATTCATGTTCTGCACATTTCCATGCTTTTCCCACACAGTGTATTTGACACCTAATCCATCTGAATGTATTTCCTTAGAGGGTTTGCACATAAACCCAGTGCTTCACCTTCTCTGCCATGACATAAGACAGATTTTCTTATATACTTGAATGATTTATCTCTCTTCTCATTATTCTCTTCCCTCAACATCAGCTTGAGCACCAGCACTTACTTGCCAATGTATTGGAGGTAAATGCCTCACATACATACAGGCAAGGCACAGCTGACACATCTCCTTCACACCTGTCTGTGAGTGCTTTGTGCCTGCACACTTTTACCAGGCAGTGGCTCCTGCCCACCGCCACCACCTGATGATCTGGGGCCTTCCCGCCTGCCTTCCACCGAAGGCCTGTCAGCTTGTTTATACAAGCATCCTTTCCTAGCTCCTAACAGCCTTATACACAGCCATGCCACAGGCTCTCTCTGGTCAGACTCTTCCCTGAGCGAGCACTCCTCCCAATCTGAGAGTGAGTCCTCCATAACCATTCTGGTCCAACTACAACCAGGACACTCTAACTGCTCTGAGACACCCTCCCCAACCTGGGGTCAGAGATCTGCTGTGACAGATGTCATCACCTTAGCAACCAACCCCTGCCACCCATGTAATGATTCTTCTTTCCTTTGCCTCCACCATGTTGTAAGGACTGCACTGGTTTGCTCTCTGGTTTTTGTAGCCAACCATTTTTATTTGCATAGGTGTTGATTAGCAAACTAACTATATACCATCTGTTAGGGAAAACTTCATCCTCATTAAAAACACTCGATGCAAAATTTTTTGCTGATAGCCCCTTCTTGCACTTAGGCGCTATTTATGGTAACTCTAGAATGCTCGGCTTCAAACTTACTTTTTTTTCTGTGGCTCCTAGGCTCTAAACTGGTTTATTTATAAGGCACTCTGTCAGGAATGTAAAGAGGACTGCCATCATTTGCTATGCTTAAATTATAGGAAAAGTTCAAATGTTTCAGATATTGCAGCTTACCATTAATACTGGGAACACGATGCTCTCCTGTAAGATTCACGTCACTGTGTCCTGGTTTAATACTTGATGTACTGTCTTCCTCCCATGAGTGATTCTGACTGCAGAGCGCTAATTGTTCTTACTGTTCTTTGGATGACAGCCACCTGTGATGAACACTACTGTCGTGTAGGAGTGAGCGACATAAATAATCTAAGTCTATCCTTCAGAAATGTAGCCTGTGGTGATTTGCAGTATTTCTCCTGAACCATCCCAGTTTCAAAATTTATGAAAACATTTTTACATCAACAATTTTTCTTTCATTTCTACAACATATGACTAGTTCTCGTACGCATGATATCATCGAACTATGTCTGTAATTTCACTCAGTGATCACTAATCAGTGGTTAATAAATAGCTGATATGCTGCAAATTTTTATCGTGCAGATTATCCATCACTGATAATAAAGAAACCGTGACTTTCACTGAAGGATGTACAGCTCTGAGTAAACAGAGATTTTTCTCTGAAATTGTTACCATCCTGATAGGTTCTATCACAGGGAAAACATATCTGTACCACATAGTTGCTGTATACTGTCAAGACATAAAACTTTAACTTGAATGCACAGACAAATGCCACAAGACATATTTTTTTTAACTTCTGCAACTACAGAAAAGGAAAAAAATGTTGTTTCAGTTGTTTGGGGTGACTTAGTTTTCATCAAGTGGCTGGACATTATTTTTTCTAGAAATAACCAGACTAAACCAACCCCTAACCACAGATAACCAGCCACTAGCCTCAGGTACTCAGCTGGTATGGGTCCTTCCATGTCCTACTGTGTTAGAAAAAAAAGTTGAATATTCCTAATGAAAATATCCAAATTTTTAGAGTTTTCAAAATTTGAGACATTTTAAGCATTGACATGACATTGTTAGTTTAAGATTCTATACCTGACTTCATGTGACAAAGTGCAATAATAAAAAAATAAAAAATTCCGGGGCTGGAGAAATGGCTCAGGGATTAAGAGCCTGGCTGCACTTGCCAAGGACCTACATTCAGTTCCCAGTATCCACTTGGCAGCTCGATGATATAATCTGATGCCTTCTTCTGATGTGCAGACATGCATGCTGACAAAGTACCCATGCACGTAAAATGCATGGATTAAACAAACAAAACAACACAACAATAACAACAAAACATCAGGTGCCCTGAAACCAATTTTTTTATAAAATAATATTTTAAAATTTTATATAATTATCTTCAGATTATGCATATAAATTGTCTATAAAAGTTAATTAAATTTATATTTAAATTTGGAGTCCATCCCCACGATATGTAACATGTATGCGTGAATATCCTACATCCAAATCTGTACGAAGTTGGAAATAATTCTACCCCTAAGCATTTGGATAAAGGATACTCATCTGTACTAGAAACCTTAGTTTTTAATAGAAATTATTCTTGTTTTTGCATTCATTATTATAACAAAACAAAGTTGATTTAAACAAAGAGGAAAAAATATCTGTTTATTGTTCAACAGAGTCACATAAAGGCTCTGAAGTACTATGCATTATATTTGCTTAAATGTGCAGTTCAAAGGATCCTTAACATATGGCTGGTTGTTAAAAGAAAGGTATTTTCTGATACCTTAAAGACATATTTTATGAGTAATCCTTATAATTGAATAGTTATTGATTTTAGGACAAAATCAATATGATATGACTTTTAAATAAATTTAGCTTTCTTTTGGATCATTTGAAAGCATAATAACCTTAAAGTTAGATCAGATAGATATACATTCATCTGCTGTGTGGCTCATACTTGTGTAAGTGAAGTTTATTTTGTTATTTAAAAAAGTAGAGAAGTTTGTGAGTTGTGAGTCTCTCTGTCTGTGCAGATGTGTGTTTGTATGTCCATCTCTGTAATGCTGTATTAACTACATGTTCTTACTAAGGTTTTATCTCATTTGCATGCGTTATTCAGTTTGCATTACACTCAGTACTATGCTGTGCAGAGACAGTCTTGAGTTCAGCTTCTATGAACTAAGCTGACCCAGCTCACTCACAACATGTACCCTCTGATTGGCTACTAGGACAGCAGTACCAAGTCGCATGTTTTAACAACTACAAACGAAATACGTGTATGCCTGTCTCAACAAGAAGCCTCGGGTAGCATTAGCAATAGAAAATAGTCAGATGTAAACCAAATAACGATGTATTAAGGAATCAGAATGCCAAGTGAAGTTGAAGTAGAGAGAAACCAGTGTTTTAATATCTTTACAATGGTTTACTAGGTATGAGGCTGCCCGAATAGGTCATTCCCTGACTCATGAAGCCAAACACTTGGCTTCTGTGTCAGTTACCTTGTTTTGGAAACATTGATTCATTAGAGCCCTGAGTCTGTGAGCTAGCCGCTCTCCTCCTGTCAGAGAGCATCCATTTCAAATCCACCATGCAGAAGGATGAGAGAGATGAGATTACTTAAGATCAGGCTATGAGAGCTCAGTGTCCTGCCCATTCATTTGCCAGTGACCCAAGTAGGTGGCACCGTGGTGTGCCCACCGGCTAGCCACTCTCATTTCCCTAACCACTTCCCATGCCCTCTGATAATATAAAGGGTGAGAAAGAAAGGAAAGAATGGAGAAACCTAGGTGAGGGAGGTCTTTGTTCCCGCTGACACCTATTTTCAAAATAAATAAAAGCCCTGTAGTTGATTGCCATCCTGTAGTTGGAAGCTCTTGTCGCCATATAGGAAGTTTACGGGGAAGCATGTGATAGAACAGGTCCTCTCTGCTTTTCTCAGAGCCAGATCACTATCAATGGCAACTCTGGAGGTGCTGTGAGTCCAGTGAATTACTATCAGAGGCCGTTCTCCCCTTCTGCATACTCCCTCCCAGCCTCACTGAACTCCAGCGTGATCATGCAGCATGGCAGGTCGCTTGGTAAGTACTGCGATCACGACTTTCTTGACAGTTTTAATGTGGCAGCTGTATATCACAAGAGAAAAATACAAGGTGACATAGTGACATGAGACTGACTGACAATCCTCTGGTGACCCTAACTTGGGGAGAATTAGGACAGAAGAGTTTCTATTGTAGAAAAGAGGGCCCACCCTTGCTATTTGTAGGTGATGATTCCTTCCATAGCTGAGCCCAGAGAAGGCTAGTTAATATTTAAATGATGGAGTAGAAAGAACATGACGATACCTAATGAACCAAGGGGAGCTCACGGAACCCAGAAAACTTTAATATAGCATTTTTCCATTGAGGTGGCTTCTTCCTGTGTGGAAGAGCTTTCATTCTAGAATACTCTTTAGTTCCACCTATGGAAAAATTGTTTAGCGATTAAAATGGTATAACAAGGGGACAGGCTAGAGTAGTAACACAGTAAAATCCTAAAGTCCTGGATCACAGTCATAAACTATTGAAACTGACATTTGAAGACCGTCTGTCATCACTGGGGTACTGGGAAGCAAACGAGGGGAGCTTAAGTACTACCTTAAATGAAGATTTCACAATTTATATAGGTTCTTAATCCTTAGAATATTAAAAAGAAGGCAAAGCCTACTGGTGCTGGGGAGATGGCTCAGTGGGTAAGATCACTGTTGCTCATTCAGAAGGCCCAGTCTCAGTTCCCAACACCCAAATGATGGTCCACACCCATCTGTGACTTCAGTTCCAAGGGATCTGATGCACTCTTCTGACCTATAAATGCACCCAGCATATGGCACATATACATACACACAAGCAAAGTACATAAATCTAATTTAAAATGTTTAAGTTATAGTCTTCCTCCAATAATAATTATTTCCTACATAATCATTAAGTGTGACTCTTTAGCCATTGCCTGTCTTAGTGAACACAGTTCATCCTATTCTACCAATTAAAAAATATAATTTCTGAAGTATAAATAACCCTTGACTTTAGGCCTAACCAGTAAGTAGATTTTGCACATATTTTTAAGTTACATCAACAATGGAAATATGAAAATTTGTTCAAAACTTTAAGCATATGATACTGTCTATCTTGTGAGCTCTTCAGAGCCTCCTGAGAAAGTCCTATGCTTGATAAAGATGAAAACATTCTTATTTAGCCAAATATATTCACATAGCTTAAAGGTAATGTAACAATTATTTTGTAGTTGCTAAAAAATTCAATGTAAAAATTCCAAAATGAACCATTACGTGTTAGGTTGAAAAGGTTTCCATGATGTTGAGAACCCAGAGAGTTTTCAGGACCACAAAACAGAGGATGCTAAGGAAGCAGACATACTTGAACCTCTCAAAAAGAGAGGCCCCATCTTACAGCCACTGCAGGTCAGCAACATAGAGAAACATCTAGAACACAGAGATATACACCATTCTATAGTTGATAGCAGACCTCTTCCCTCTTCCCACACTGACTTCTTTAACGGAAAGAGTGTGATACCACAAGTTTACTGAAGAATACTTCATGTCAGTTTCAAGCCCAGTCATGGTAGAACGCAGCTCCCATGGTCAACAAAACCTCTGTACGGTTTTAAACATAATCATGGGACTCATTAAAGAGGAGTCTAAATATACTCGTGCCTTTTCTAACGCTACTCCTGGGAGCCATTTGTGAAGCTTGTAATGATCTCCTTTTAGAGCGTAAGAAAGAAGAGCTTGTTTGTGCCAAATTTCTCTCTTTGACAGCCAGTCCACAGTTCAGTTTTATAACACACTCCACTATTTCAACATTTTGTAATGGAATTGTGCATTATTATACACGAAAATGAAACTTTCTAAGTTATTTCAGCCATAACGTTTTCCTAAACAATCATTAAGTGGGACCCTTTATCCCAGCACCTGTCTTAGTGAATGGTTTTCCCCAGTCTACCAAATAAAAAATATACTCAAGTATAGACAGCCCTTGACTTTAGACCTAGCTAGTGAGTAGATTTTACACATAAACTGTTTAACATGGAAAGAAATTCCCTGTATAAACATTGAATAAGTTCCAATTGGCTAAGGCAGTAATGGGAGGGGAGTGGAATTTACAAGTCTGTTCTGCCCTAGGTGAACTTTAAGACAAAAGATTGCAAATATAACAGTTTATGGGCCATATAAGAGAAATATAAAAAGAGCTAGCTTTCATTGCGCAAGCTGTGGGTTTGTACAGTCACATGAACTATACGTGGGGACAGACTTAATACTCTCTTTTACGCTAGGACTGTGGCACATCCTACATGTTCAGAAAACAGTGGTTGCTGACAAAAATCCGAGCATTGTGGCTATCCTGTCAAGGCCGGTGAAGAATTAAAAGGTCAATCAAGACAAAATAACATACTGTGACTTCATTCAGAGTGGCTGGCAAGATAGGATTTGTATAAGCAATGACACATTTAACAATTCCATTCCTAGATTCATCCATTTCATTCAAAAATGCCTTAAGACGTTTTTCTGTTGTTGACTAAATTGAAAGTGGACTTAATTATAGACAATATATTAATATACTGAATATTAGCCTCTCAAGAGCTTAATGCTAAATATCCTTGTGAAAATGAGTCAAATTCTTAAATGCTTATTTATATTGTTCTACACATCATCATAAAAATACACATATAAAAGTTCATTATGCTATCTATACATGGTATAAATATTAATTGTAAATCCTATATATGTACAAAAATGAAACAAACACATATATATGAATATAGTCACCAAATGCTATCCTAAAACAAATTTTTTTTCAGCTTCCACAGAAAGGAACTGAGTAACAGACTTTGCTAAAACAAGTGGTACAGAGTCTTTAAAACAGCAGGAAGTCACACCACTATTGTTTTGATAAGATCATCAATAGTATTTCCAAAACTACTATTTTTAACTCAGGATAAACAGAACAGGTAGTGTACACATAAATTCTCTGTTACCTCTGAAAGTATTCCAAGGATTCATAACCTTAAAATAAAGATGGCAATTTGATAAGCCTCATGTAACTTTAATCCTCATGACAATTATCAGTCTTAAAGGATAAAAAGCCATGACATGGGTATTTTACCATAAAAGCAACAGTATCAAATAAAATTCAATAAATCTTAATTACTGAAAAGCACGTATTTACCTAGAAGCCTTCACTTTCTAGTGTGTGTCTAGTTCTCAACATAATATTCAATTGACTTTTATTTTAATTTTATTTTTACGGAATTGTATCTTTGGATCAATAATCCGATGGCTTCTCTAAAACACCCTCTTACTGCTTTCTCATGATGGCGGCCAACAGCCTCACAAGAATCCTTATGAGTTGTGACCTGAGTAAGCTTTCATTGTGGCAAGGCTTCTGTCGGCTTCTGCTGTCCCCCTCATCCTGTCCCTCCCAAGATTTCCGGAAGGAAGATGAGGTGGAACACCCTCAGTGTTTCCTCAACAATGGTTCCACATGTCATTCATCAAATATTCTTCCTCTCGTCCTTCTTTATAAGACACCGAGGTCCTTGTTGTCCCATACATATGTGTAACATCTGCTGTTGAATGAGACAAAGTAAATACAGGGAAAGGCACATAGGTAGCAAGAGGATTCTATGCTGGTTGTCAATCAGTGGACAAGAGGCACCCTTAATTTACAGTCCGTGCATCCAATGTGTTCTATGTCGCTGTATTTTCCGCTCAGATTCTGCGGAGGCATATTCCCAGCATGCCCAGTCTCTGGATGGCACCATGGGTAGCTCCATCCCGCTCTATAGATCCTCTGAGGAAGAGAAGAGGGTCACAGTCATCAAAGCCCCGCATTACCCAGGGATCGGCCCCGTGGATGAGTCTGGAATCCCCACAGCCATTAGAACGGTAAGCCACGCATGCCAGCACATGTGTCTTTCTGGTTCTGTACATGGACTCCACAAAGGATGGATTGTGCATAGCTCTGTGCATTCCTAGGGTCTTACAGCATAAAGATTGTCCTCTGAGCCATCCAAGCTCCCATGAATACCGTGCTGTGTGGCAGAGGGAGAAAACTGGGCAGTGAAGATAACCTCACAGTCTGTTTTTTTCCGTTTGAATTTAAAACCATGAAAATGGTGGGATTTGTTAAATAATAACACTTTGTTTTTAACTTTCTATCAAAGCAAGGTGAAGCCTAGAGGGAGAACGAAGGGGGTGGGGGTAGCGAGTTACTCCATTCACAGCATGTAATTCCCACATGCACGGTAAAATGACAAGTGATTTGTTTCTTGAAATGGATGTGAGTTAACACCAGGGGATGGGCAACTGTGAGTTGGGACTTGAGAGGCGAGATGCTGGAGTGAAGGGAGGATATGGGAAGGAAAAGCTGGAGAGAGAGAGAGAGAGAGAGAGAGAGAGAGAGAGAGAGAGAGAGAGAGAGAGAGAGAGAGAAAG